GAGGTTTTCGCTATAGGGCGCGTGCGCTCGCCAGACAGACAGAGAGAGACAGAGAGACAGAAAGCGAAAAATCACCCCCCAGGGGGGATGGTCACACCACAATCTCTTCTCCTCCATTCTCCTCTTGGGATCTTGGGCACACATGCACACGCACCCGGCGTGAGTTTTAAGCCACCGGGTCCGGGACATGAACCACGGTCGACTACGTGGGAGTCCAGCGACATAGCCATTACGCTAACTGCTGGTTCCCAATGCCTCTTCCTTCTGACAAATATTCAGATTAGGACATTGGTGTTTATCAGATTGGAAAAATGAAACTCTATCTGCAGCACTTGGGCAAAGGAGATCTTCTCCACCCTTCATTACTGCTAGGGTGGCATCCTATGAACAAGCCTAGAAATAGACTTCATTCCACAGTGGCATAAGATTGTCAATCAAAATACACTCGTTAAATAAATATTAAGCAACATTGAGTCTACCGATTTTCAGGTCCTGTGAATGGTGGAAGCACAGAGGTAAACGAACCAAAGCCCACCCTCCAGAAGCAGTTGTATATTCCAGAACATCTTCTCTCCAAAGCATCTCCTAAGGCCCACTTGCTGCTGGGCCACCAGGACAGTCTGAGGACAGAACCAAATCAGAAGCAATCGTTTGCCTCGAGGATCTTACAGTGAAGACAGACTGAGGACTGACCAGAGCAACCCAAGCCAGCAAGAGAGAAATTCCCTACGAATAAGAGCATGAGAGGGCGCAGTGGGAGCAAGAGGAAGTGGCTATTGACACCCTTGGTTCTGGTGGTAAGGGCTCTGTGGGGAGGAGGGAGCATGCGTGGTAAACCGGGGACCATGGACTCAAACTGCTCTCAGTTCAAATCCTGACTCATAAGCACAGCGTTTAGCCAGTTGTCCACCTGTCCCATAGGTTTGCTGTGAGCGCTCGGTGCATTCAAATTAACCTGTACGTAAGCGCCACGAACTCTGGCCAGTCTTACTCAAACATGGGGTAAGGAGAATCGCCTTTACTTAAAAAGGGGGGGCGGGGGCGGTCAAAGCAAACGCTATCCAGAAGGAAGTCTGGAGGAGGCGGCGCGCAAACCTGCGTCCGGCCAACCACTTAGGCCTAAGAGCAGTAACCCAAGAACGCTGTCAGGACACGGGGAGCCCCCAGTGGGGGGCGTGCGCGCTCCCGAGGCCTCTACGCGCGCGCCCACCCGCGCCTCGGTCCTCCCAGAAGGACGACCGTAAAGGGGGTCCGGCCGTGTCGTGAAAGGGCCGCAAACACGCCCAGGGCTGGCTGGCAGGACAAAATGAGGCCCCTGGACGTCGACGAGGTGGAGGCACCGCAGGAGGTGGAGGTGCTGGAGCCCGAGGAGGATTTCGAGCAGTTTCTGCTGCCCGTCATCAACGAGATGCGGGAGGACATCGCGTCTCTGACCCGCGAGCACGGGCGGGCGTACATGCGGAACCGGAGCAAGTTGTGGGAGATGGACAATATGCTCATCCAGATCAAGACGCAGGTGGAGGCCTCGGAGGAGAGCGCCCTCAATCATCTTCAGAACCCAAATGATGGAGGCGAGGGCAGGGTGACGAAAAGGTGCGAGAAGGCCGAGGAGAAGGCCAAGGAGATCGCGAAGATGGCAGAGATGTTGGTCGAGCTGGTCCGGCGGATAGAGAAGAGCGAGTCGTCTTGAAGCAGGATCGGCGGTGAGGTCGGAAACCAGCGCGAGCTGGCCCGAAGTCTGGTAGTTGCTGGAAACTTGGTTGATCCTCGAGGGAAATTATTTACTAAAGATCTACTCGGGATCGGAGGTGGGGGGAGGGAAAATAAAGGCTTGCCCAGGTTTTAACTTGGCATGTATTCGTGGATGGCATGTAAATTGCTTTTCACGTTGGTAATTTGAAACTGGTGATGACTTGCGTTCTTGCTTTCCCCCTTCTGTCTCTCTCTGCTGAGTGCATGTGCCTTACAGCAAATTAAATAATTATTTTTAGGAAAGCAATGTTCTAGAAGCGACTCTCATATTTTATCACATCAGATATTGGACATTGGGAGCAAAGTTGGGGTTGAGAGGGAAATAAATGTGTGTTAGACTTGTTAACTGCTAGCAGGGTTTTGTGTGTGTGTGCCCCCCAACATACACACACACACTGGTAATTAGAAAAAATTTGAAGTAACTTTATGTTTGTGAAACATAAAAGTCAATTAATTTTTTTTTTTTTTTTTTTTAGGTTTTTACTGCAGGGACATGTGAGCTTAATGGAAAGAAACAAGAGAGAGGGAAAGTGAGAAATCACCTCCTGGGGGAGGCCACTCCACAATCCCTTCTCCTCCATTCTCTGCTTCGGACTTTGAGCACACATACATGCCTGGTATGATTTTCAAGAAATTGAGTCCAGGTCTGAGACTGCAGTTGTCTAAGTCTAGTACCTTAACCCGCTGGCCTTATAAAGGTCAATTTTAATAGGATATAGTTGCCAGAGGTAGATTTGCCTGGGCACTAAGGGCATTGGAGGAATCCAAAGAAACCTAAACCATGGAGGGTGAAAACCAAGAGAAATAGAAAAGTGTAAAGCCAGAGACAATTACTAGAAATTTCTAGGTCTTTCTAGAAGGTAGATATATCAAATCACCTTGTCTGAAAGAACTGTCATTCTTTTGTTTCTTTTTAAGAGGAATTATTTAACTTTACTCATTGTCATTATTATTACTATTTTTAGTTTGAACAGAGAGAAACAGAGAGAGGAAAGTGGGAAAGCGGGCTGGGTCCAGGACTCAAACTGCAATTAGTCCTGTGCGAGTCCAACGCCTCAACCACCATGCTACCTGCTGGCCCCAGAAGTGGCATTCTTATGGACGATGAACATTTCCTTTTTTAACATTGGGATATGAAAATCTTGAGATTCAATGTCTTGGTGATAAATTTCTTCCAGTCGTGCCTTAGGTTCACAGCTGACGGACTCTGGCCAACTGGTAAGGAAGGACTGACACACGAAACGGAAAGAGCTTGTCATTTCGTCTATTTTGCATTTGTATGTTTTTTTACCCTCACATAACAGATTTTTTTTATGGTCAGTGGTTGGTGACCTTGATATGGGTTTAGATCATCAAATGCATTTGGTTTTGGAAAGATAACTTTTGTTGGGGAAATACTCAAGAGAAATGGGACTTAATTCAAAGTTGTTTCAGTGGTCACATTTATTTGTTCCTTTACTGTGTTATTTAAGATGTTAGGCATGATGTTGTATTTTGCTGTTTTTTGGAACTTGGAACATGTGAAGACTTGACCAGAACCTTCCAGCTTTAGAGATACAGTGGAAGACACAGCACTTGGTTGTAGCTGGTGAAGAATGTATGAATGAAGGAACCAGCAGTTAGCATAATGGCTATGTCGCTGGATTCCCACGTAGTCAACCGCAGTTCGCGGCCTGGACTCGGTGGCTTAGAACTCACGCTGGGCGCATGTGTGTGCGTGCCCAAGATCCTGAGAGGAGAATGGAGGAGAAGGGATTGCAGCGTGACCATCGCCCCTGGGGGGGTGATTTCTTGCTTTCTGTCTCTATGGCTCTCTCTGTCTGTCTGGCAAGCACACGCGCCCTATAGTGAAAAACTCTCAAAAAAAAAAAAAAAAAGAATGTATGAATGAGACTGCTTTGTATAAAGCTGGGAAGAAACCAAGTTGGAAACGGAAGATACTTTTGTACATATTTTGGAACTTTAATTCTTCTGTAAAACAAAGAGAGCTAAGTTTTGCGGACATTGTCTGATGTGTAATCTGCTAGGTGAGTTTGTATAGGCGCATTAGCTGACCTTCTATGACAAAGAAGTTTGAATAGGAATGATGGAATACCCTTCAGTATTGTTATAGCCTCACACAGCACAGGGATTTCATAATAGGACATCAAAGAGACAAGCCACAGAGAATCTCAGAAAAGGAAGAGGTATTATAGGGCCCACGGTCTCATCTAGTCAGTCCACCAGGGTAGTCGATCTGACAGGGATTTGAGGTCAAAAACATGGAATAAATGTTCATTTGCCTTGAAACACAAAAATCCAAAAAGCCTCGCTTTTTAAAAAATGTTTTTCATGACCAAAGTCCCAATGTGTGTTAATAGAAAAATCATAAATAAATTTCTTCCAGAATGGATGTCCCTCCTTAAGTGTCATCCTCAAGTGGGGATGCACTACTTCTAATTTATGAGACTCCCAGTAAGTCTGACTATGTATGGTTTCTGGAAAGTGCCATGGGAATGAGAAGACAGAACACGTAGTTCTTAAGACAGGAACTTCAGGCCGTCCTCCTGCACGAGCCCCTGTTTTTTGGCAGCTGAAATGTGTTTACCAGTGGGAATATTATGTGCTTCAGATCCTATCCAAGGTGCTAGGACTGGAAAGGGAAAACATGGATTATTCAAAGGCGTAGAACAAAAATGGAAACAAGGGATTACAATATAGTGTACTTTATTATCTTGTGTGAACCTCAAGGAGGGAGACTACCCTGTGTGAGAGCGTCTGGGAAAGCTTTTCAGAGCAATTGACTTAACTGGGCCGTGAATGCTGAGTATGACTCCTGAAAGTAGGAAAAGCATGTGAAGCATAGGGAACAGCGTGAGTCAAAAGAACAGTTGTGGGGAGGCAGTCGGGGGCTCCTGGTAGCCAGAGGTCCATGGGTGGAGTGCTATTGCTTGGTGCTGGGGTCGCCGCGCGGCCGCCAGGATCATGGTCTTCCACTTCACCAGCAGCGGCATTAATTCATCTGCTTACACTATTTACATGGGAAAGGATAAATATGAAAATGAAGCTCTAATAAAGTATGGCTGGCCCGAAGATACTTGGTTTCACGTGGACAAACTCTCTTCGGCTCATGTATACCTTCGATTACATAAGGGAGAGAAGATAGAAGACATTCCAGAAGTGCTGATGGACTGTGCTCACCTTGTGAAGGCCAGTAGTATTCAAGGCTGCAAGATGAACAGCGTTAAAATGTGGTATATACGCCGTGGTCTAACCTGAAGAAAACAGCTGACATGGATGTGGGGCAGATAGGCTTTCACAGGCAGAAGGATGTAAAAGTTGTGACAGTGGAGAAGAAAGTGAATGAGATCCTGAACCGATTAGAAAACACCAAAGGAGAGCGGTTAAAAAGAGCGGTTCCCAGATCTAGCAGCAGAGAAAGAATGCAGAGACCGGGAAGAAAGGAATGAGAAAAAAGCCCAGATTCAAGAAATGAAAAGGAAAGAAAAAGAAGAAATGAAGAAAAAGAAGGAAATGGATGAACCTAGGAGCTATTCATCACTAATGAAAGTAGAGACTGTGTCTTCAACTCAGGATGGCAATGATTCAGATGGATTCATGTGAAAGGAGAGGAGGACCTTTGAAAGACGTGACTGGAGAGGCAGCTGCAAACCTTTTGATTTCATATATTGTCCTGAATGATAAACAACCAACATTCTATCTTCATACCACACAGATACTCATTCTGGAGGTTGTCTTTTTTTAATGCTTCCTTTTTTATATTTAACTGACAGAAAAAGGATCAGTTATATAATATAGTTGAAGACAATATAACTTTGGGAAGTGAAAATATTTTTGTCAGAATATTGTCTTGGTACCTCATGCAAGCTGGTTGTCCTTGTCTTTGAGATAGACTTTAGAACAAACCCAGGCCGCAAAGTTTTTGTTGCTGTGGTCTATCCCTGAGAACGGATGTCTCGAGAAACACTCTTCATGTGTTTTAAATCTCCTCACTACTGTTAAGAAGAATGTGTTGGTGGGCGATAATATGAGATGTTCCCCTATCCCTGACTTCCTGGTTAGGAAAAAAAGGCATTTATAGGTTTTGAAGATGAGTGTGAGATTTTCAGAAGATTGCCGGCTTCAGTATTCACAGTTTATAGCATCACCTGAGTCTATGATGCTGGGACCCTCGGCTCTCAGCTTGTCCCAGCTTCTGTGTCCTTGCTTTCTCAGAATACCGCTCTCCATCTTAGTATCATCGTGTTTAAAGAACTGGTATTAACCAAGTTTAGGCCTTGTGACTGTTGCTACCTGAGTACCAAGTAACCCCAGCCTCGTTGATGAGGCGCTGGCATCATTCTGAGCAATAAGGGAGACGTAGAAAGCGGTGCTCTGTGAATCGTTCGTAGATGTAGGTGACTTGGTTTTTGTCTTGGAGTACAGCACGAAATAGTCCACATTGCAGTTATGATTTTAGAAAGAGGATTAAGCATTCCACTAATCAGCCAAGTAACTTGTCTCCTTACCTTGAAATATTTATTTAGAGTTATAACCCCAGAGTTCAGAATTCTCAGTAATAGACTCAGTAACCTAAAATGTAGCATCACCATTCATGTGAACACCTGTTAACCAGAGTGATACTGAATAGAAGATATATTTTTATGCAGTGTGGTAAGGCAACCCCTATAGAAAGAGAAAAACCATAATGAGAGAACAAAGTCTTCAGGACAGAATGCATACAAATTCACATTTTAACTATACCCAGAATGAAGCATGTAGCATTCTTATTCTTAGCTGTTTTCTAACTCAGTAAAATGATCTTTTACAACAAATATTCTGCCTGTAATAGTACTTTGGAACCGTGGACAAAAACCAAAAGACTAGCCCCTCCATTTATTCCAAGTAGGTGTATGGGATTGAACTGGAAAATTATCTGAGACATAATTCATTGGCCAAATTTTTAGTGGGTATGGAGAACAACTCCAGAGATCAGTGGGTTTTGTGTGAGTGTGTTTAATTATATTCAGACTGGAGTTCTGTGGTTAAAATTATAATAAAGTATTTTTTATCTGGAAAAAAAAAGAAAAGAACAGTTGTGGGGACTGGCAGATGGTATAATGGTTACATCACTGGGCTCCCACATAGTTGACTGCGGTTCAAGCCCTGGA